GCATCTTTGGATGGATGACCTCACAAGTCTTCTTACATCTTCTAAATCTCTCACATGTGGTTCCTAGCACTAAACCCTGGAAAAGAAATTTAGCTAGATGGGGGGGGGGGGGGGGGGGGTGTTAATGATAATGACCATAATGCTTGACAGATCAGGTGCGCTGCCCCAACAGTTTAACAGACTGCAGTATAGGTGAAGGTGATAATAATAGATATTAAATTGATGGTTGCTCTTGAAAATTGTCTCATTATAACTAATTTTTTTCATTTTTATAACTGCAGTTCTCTGATGACTGGAATCATGACTCAAAGCAGTCTACTTCAGCATCGGTCAGAAGAGCATCCAGTACCACCTCTGCCAAATCTAAATCATCAGCACCTTCCCACAGCAGCAATGACCCATGGGCCTCTGCATCTGCGCCACCTCCACAGTCCAAACCTCATGACCCCTGGGCAGATATAGACAGTGTCCAGCTCCCTCAGACTAAGAAGCAGTCTGTTCCTATAGAGACTTTTAAAGTCAAAGCAGAGTTTCCTTTCAAAGGGGAGTTATCTTGTGATTTGTCTTTCAAGAAAGGTAAACTTTGGTACTATTTATATCAATACATCTCGTTCTATTCAGAAATAAATTTCATTTAACAAAAATTAATCAGTTTAAACTATAATCTATTTTGCATTCTTATTAGCTTTTAGTTTTGTAACTAGATCAATGAAAATCTTGTTCAGTATTTACTCTCATGCATTACTGTGATTGTCTATCGCAGTGTTTCCCAAACTATGTTCCGTGGATCCTTAGTGTTCCACGAGGCCTGAATAGGTGTTTCACGAACTACTGAAATAATTAACTATTTGGCCATCACATGTATTACATTCTCTAAAAAAAAAATTGTTCTGCTAAATACTCAAAATGTGCAAATGACAAAGTTTGGGTAACACTTGTCTATCATGTTATATTTTTATCCACCATTATCAAATCATTTTTATTTAAATACCTGCTTAACTTAAAGTCAGCTCAGAAATACTATTTACAATTTCAAAATTCATTTTTTTTTACTTTTTTAACTGTTTATACAGATTTAAAAGGATTTTCCCTGCAGAAGTATTTCTTAAACCTATAGATATCAACCTTGAACTTGGTACCAATAAAGACTAACCCTTAATCTATAATATAGTAAAATGTCAGGGCTTGAAATATAAAACACTAAAACTCAAAAGTTCTAAAAGAAATACATTATGATTTTATATCTTTTGTTTTTACTGATTTCAAGGGGACATCATTGAAGTGACTACATCCACAAAGAGACAAGATGATTGGTGGGAAGGAATTGACAGTTCAGGACGTAAAGGAATATTTCCAGCTAATTTTGTGCATAAGATTTAATTAGGAGCTGCTTTTTATCACAAATGATGGCATGTTACTAGATTTGATTGATTTTTTTGCTAAATTTCATGACAATAAAAATCATGCTGTGATACTCTTGCAAAGATCTCGTGTTTCAGGTGTCAGAAAAAATCTCAGTAAAATTAGACAGAACATTGGCATGAGTCTTCAATACTTTTCATTCATTGTCTTGTCTGGTAAACAATGGGTTGGGGCTCGGGAGGGTTAGGTTTCTTGTTATTCACTTCCTCCTTTTCTATCTGTCCTTTGTGTTTCATTCTGAATACCTTAGAATAGTTTTCTGATTAACTCATTAAGGGACTGAATGTCTATCCAAGAATATTCATTACTGTTATTTCAGCTATGTTTACTACTTTTTCTTTTTTATTCAAAGTATTCTAATTTGCATCACTTGCACACAAACAGAAAAGAAAAAATTGAAGTTGGCAAGTTTTAATTTTTTAAATTTTGTTTAGACATGAAACTTTTTTTTTTAGTTGCTTTTTAAATTGTGCTGATGTGCCAAAAACTCAAAAAAAAACAACTTTATAGTTGTTCCATGTTATAACTCTGGAAAATAATATTCATCTATGTGTTTATTTAAAATATATATGCCCACTGGACTCATTTTAAGTGGACTGATATCATAATTGGGTATATTTTTACAGTTGTTATAAATCATATCTGGCATGAACAATACATTGAGTGTAAAGGAACTACTTCTGGATTTCTGCGCTACACCCCACCCTGCGTTAATTGCAGCGATATATATTGTGTCTTTGTGCGTTCTAAAGAAGCTATGAAGTAACATTGTAGAGATTAGATGGTGAAGGAAATATTTTTGTTTCATTTTATTGAAGCATTCCTGTACATTTTGCATTTGACCACATTAATATTCTGATTGTATTTTTAATGAGACATTTTATTGGAATTAACATTTTGTTAATTTTTTTCTGTAATATGACAGAGGACATTAATTAGCTCTACTAATGCTTCAATACATATGTATTGCCAAACTATTCACATATTTAATATAATTTTTGTTTAGTGTATCTTTCATGCTGTAGTAACCTAGTTGCACTATGGTCCAATCTCTCCTGTGGACCTCCAGGGGAAGGTGGGTATCTGCTGGAAGGTTTCACGCTGCCTTTAAGCACGCAGCAAACACAACTCAGCTCGAGTTTGGATTCAAACTCAAGCCACCTATATAGGTCACCAAGTGGATTATGCCATTCTACATGTGGGATGAAGTTTTACCCTTGTTAGGGCAAAAAAATAAAAAGTACATTTACCACTTTAGTGCACCTATAATTAGATCTAGGAGTGGCATCTATAGTGGCATTCATGTTCTTTTTTTTTTTTAATTAATGGAGAAGCTGGAAACTAAGATCTAATTGTAAAATCTTTTATGTGGATGTTCTCTCACCTATGCACAGCTGTGTGCTGACAAAGTAAATTGATAAAAAAAGCCTGACTTACTTGCCATAGCCCAGATGTTTTAGCCTTCATGTTGGCATCATTAGTTGTAATGAATCATGAACTTTTAAGGTATGATCTGCCTGTCCTTTCAAGGATTGCTATGCTTCATTTGGTTTCAAACTCATTGACCTTACTTACTTTGTAGAATTGAATGGATTCGAACTCAAGCCCCTTTGAAAGGTAGCCAAGTGGAATTCGCTTTCAGCCACATATGCCACTTGTGTTGTTTTAACAGACTTTTATATCGTATTAGGAATGCTAACGTTGGACATAGGAAGTGATATGCTTATCTTGACCTGTTGGTTTCTTAGTTGGCACCAGTTGTTTTCAACAACAAAATGGTTTGAAGAATAATTTTTAATAGGTCATAAATATTTCTAGAGGGTGTTTATAAGGTCATTGAGAATATATATAAGAAGCATTACTTAGTTGTAATAAACAGTACTTCAGTTAATTAAAAAATGTATATTTTAATTCAGGTAAGGTTTTGTACATATTTGTAAGAGAAAAATTATTATTTAAAAATGTGTCTAATTAATGGCAATATTGGTTCTTGTAAAAGTGGATGTCCTATTAATGTTTAACAATTCTAAACAAAATTGAGCTAGAATATGTATTTTATGATTCTTGACATTATAATTCAATTTTTCAAAGAAGTGTGAATTTTTGTATCATGTTGCAAGCCAACATTTAGAAATCAGTGCTAACACCTTGTGTATGGTAACTGTTTTGTGGGCCATCATCACAGATATCTTTTTTTGTTTTCATTGACATTATTTCAAACATTGTGATATCACTTTTCATTTCAGGAAAAATATATTTGTGTCTATAAAGTGCTTTAAAATCTGTTTGATGTCTTTCAGAACAGAGATACATTTGTTTATTTTTGTTTTTATATCTTTTTATTATTTTGCAAGCAATCAACCTATTGTGTTAATTAAGCATAATTTTTTTGTTGGGCCTGGATCTATATATTGAACTATATCCTAAATATTTTTAATGATCACTCTCATATTTGCACCATTGCATATATATATTGAATTTTTAAAATTACTTATTAAAACATTGTCATACTATTTTCTAAGACTAAGACTGCTTTATTGATCCTTACGGAAATTTGTTGTGATTACAAGGACTCAGTTCTCATATAAAGACAATACAACAGAAAAATACACATAAATACAACAGACACAACATAAAGAGTTTCTGTAGTACTATATGAGGGAAGATGGACTGGATATTTCTAGAGCTCAATTATAAATTGTCTTGGATAAAATAATTTTCACTTTGAAAGGTACCCATTTTAGAACTTGTGATCTATTAGGGTAGATGATGTAAAGCTCATCTGTTTCTATGGCCAAAAGTTAATGAGGGTGTTATGTGCCCAGCACAATTACCCACCCCGCCTTTACTTGTATCTCGGGAACCATTAGAGTTGGGTGGACTCTGGGACGTCCTAGAAATCTAAGATTTCAAAATGTCAGTGTTCACCAGGGTTCAAAATATGTTTTTAGAAAAAGATAAATTAGTTTAAACCTATTTATTCACTCTTCTTTTGTTTCTGAAGTTACTTTTTTTTTTTGTATCTTAATTTTTTGTTTTTATTGGACTCTATGTGTGTCAATTAATTATCAATTTGTCAGAACATTTTTATAGCAATAACTTCTGACACCATTAGCAAATTTAATTGTTTCTTTCACCATTACATTGTATACTTTTTTTTTAAAAGCGCAGACGCTAAATGTCAAAATGTTAATAGTTTAATATTAAAATCTCTGATTTCTTTTTCCATGGCTTTTTAATTTTACTTTGAATATGAATTAAATACAGAAATAAAAAGTCAACTCACTTCCCATAGATCTAAGACAACATGCTTCACTACAGTTAAGAAAAACATGAAGACCTATCTGTTACAAATTTTGTAGATTAGTTTGTCATTTTAGCTTTCATAGTTGTGTTTGTAATGTTATCACAGCGCCTTGAGCCTACATTTTGTTTGTTAATAAATTAAATTATTATCATTATTAACTCCACAAGTCTAAGAACATTTTTATTACAAATTATACTTCTTGAAGATGTAAAAAAGAATACAAATGTGAAATCACATTATTAATGTAAAAGTGTATCAGTGCATCAATGACCCTGTGGAAATTAACTGAGTATTGAAAGATAATTGGGTATCGAAAGATAATTGGGTATCCTCCTTCAGAAGCAGATGATGAACCTACATTATTGCAGGAAAGTAACAAAATAATTTTAAAAGACTTGTTAGTCTTGCTCTAGTCAAGGTACATCAGCTTGATACGGAGCATAGGTAGTTGTTTTTTTTTTAAGTTCTACATTACTGAATATTGTAGAATCAAAATATTTTTCACCTAAGCATTGTTTTATAATCCCTCACACCCTTCAGATCAAAAGCAAAATATTTCCACCATTCCTCGATATATAAGACTTTGATATAAATGAATTTTCTCTTTTATACATATGTTCTATTGTTGGGCAAATTGTTTTGTTGTTGATGGTAGATATAAAAATATTTTTTCTATTGCTTCTACATTGTTAACATAATAACACTATTTATTAAGCCTTTCTGGCTAATATACACCTGAACTTTCTTGACTGACATAATATGACCTACTTATTTTGACTATTGTCTGATGCTTATGGTGTCTCCATAATATGAATAAAATTGCTGAAACAATCTCCAATATTTTATACTGTTCGTTTGTTGACAAGTTAAGTTCCATTTCCTAGGGCAGGCTGCCATTCAGGGCTTGGGATTCCTAACTATGCTGGATGATTCATTAAATTTTACTACTAATACTGATTTTATCATAGAAAAAGGGCATCAATTACTTAAAGACAAATGTCCTCCTTAACTCTTTCTCTCCTTAATTATTTTCCATGATTCGACGGAATTATTCATTTTGTTCATTTGTAGTTCACTTTCCTGTTACGATTAAACTTCTATAACTTTGTTATAAGACAATGTTTTATTTGGTATAGAATTGAAGGGGAGTGCATGCTTTCATTATATGACACAAATTAGTGTTTATAAGAAAGACAAAAATTAATTTAATGGGGTCAAATCATAGATGGTATCATCAAATAGGAGAGAAAGAGTTAACTGTTACCCAAAAGCCACTGCTAATGTTTTATCATTCTCACATCTGCAGTACTGCAAGTTTCAATATCACTGCCTGGCATGGCAATCTGAACATTACAAATAAAAATAAACTGCAGAAAATCCTAAATGCTGCTTGTGAAGTCATAGCAAACAAACTCCTAGAAAGATTTAAAAAAAAACAACACTCAAGTGTCAGGATTTTAAGGTTTTACCATCACAAAGGAGATACAAGATACTGATTGTAAAAATAAATACCCAAAAACTCCTTTGTTGCCCTGGCAATTAAATCATTGAATAGAATTGATCTATCTGATGTAAACGTTTCCGTGTACTGTTTTCAGTGAGACTAGTGTGATCCTATATTTTGTTTCTATAGTTATAATGTAGCCTACTTTTGTAATGCACTTATTGTAAGACAAATTTCCACATGGATAATAAAGATTATTATTATTACCATTATTATCATAATTATTAACTTTAAATGTCTAGTTATTCTGGTGCATCTTTTTATCTTGTAAATTACTGATGTTACTTCAGAAAAATAAGATAATTATTAGTAAATCTAGTCATGCACATTAATCAGTGACTTAAACGCTGCTAAATCGTTGGTCTGCCCTTGTGAAGCATCTCCAGAGAATGCTGACCATGTCATTCAAAGATGCATACTATATCAAGAGACCCAAACACGACTCTGACTCCAAAACCCTCCTATAGAACAAAAAACTATATGGAGAACTACCTGATCTGGAAACCACTTTGCGGTTCATCTCAGATATAGGATTACTAATCTAAACCCTCTGACATGTAAATGAGAATGAAGAAGTTGGTTTTCCTGGATGATTCAGGCAACCCATTCCATGATATGTTTGCAAATAGGAAGAAGGAGAACTTGTGCAAATTTGTCTCGTGTACCAAATATAAAAAGTGTAGATGAAATAATTTGATTTTCATAAGTTGTATCTATTTTGTACAGTTTTGAGCAGTGTTAACTCAAATTCCTGAGGTTTGTAGCGCAAAGTACTTCCTATTATTTAGTTGTGATCTTTCGATAAAACCTCCTTGAAGTTGTTTAGTTTATATATATACCTACATTATTTTATTTTCCTAATTTTCTTGGGGGTTTACCTTACATCGCCCCACATTTCTACATATTGCTTTCACGCTCTATTTTGTCTAGAAAATGTTGTGGCTTTAAGTGGGTCAGGAAAGAAATAGTGCGTCCTGGAAGCCCATCAAAACTTCAGGTCAAGACGTTGATAGTTGTGTAAAAAAAAAGCAATACACTGACCAGCAAAAAAAAAAAAAAAAAAAGCCAAAGATGATTAGGAACAAGGGTCAAGGGTCATTGCAGGTTTGTTACCAGGTTTATATCTGGTCATCTCTGAGTGGATTCTTTCACAGGTTGTTTTTTTCTTTCCCACTTGCCATAGTCGGATCCATTTGAAATTCTGCACGTTTATTCATAGTCGGAGAATATATATGAATCAATAAAAAAGAAACAACATATGATTTAATCAATCAGGGGTAATTAATTAATGATGTTTTTGTAGAGAAAGGGGAGATAAAATTTGCAGTATTGATATATATATATATATATATATATATATATATATATATATATATATATATATATATAGTAGTGATTGTACGATATTGTTGTTTTGACATCTTGATTTGGAAGTGAAACACTTTACCAAGCAGCTACCACGCCCCCTCCAAGGGGCGTAGCTAGAAATTTTCCATCATTTGGGGGCGACGGGGGGTTTGACCTCTATGGAGGCCATGCATTTTGCGTAATATTTAATGTAAAAAAAAACAACATACATTTGGGGGCCCCTTTCCAGTGGGTGTTTGGGAGAATTTTCAAATTCACCCACCCCTTTCCACACCCTACATACGCCTCTGCGCCCCCTCCCATTTAAAGTAATAAAATCTATTACATTGGCATTCAATAGAAGGCTTCAAACGCAGTTATATCAGATATTTAATATACCTTGGCTTCAAACGGTAGGTCAATTTTCTTTCGCAACACTAAAAAAAAAATCGATTTCTTAAAACCTTGACGATCTTGACAGTTTTTTAAACAGATGATCTAACAAAAAAACCCCAAAGAACTTGGATAAACTGTCCCGCTTTTATTTCATCTTTTGAACTTTAATCCCGGAATGACGTTACACTCTAGTCATGGCTGGCGGGGCAATGTCTGAAAGACGCAGCGCCTCATCTTACGGTATTTATTTATTAATAGTTTCAAATTCAAAAGTGTCCCGTTCGAACAACCAATAATCAGGGGCAGGCAATCTTTGCTGAAATACTAGCAGACGTGATTCCAAGGAAATATAAAACGTGGTCTGGATTCAGATTTGCTTCAAACAAAACAGTGAAGAGAACAAAGTAGTTGAGGATTTCAATGAGATTATAGTCACACTATATAAAAACAAAAGTAAACATTTATGACAAAGCTTATATCAACTTACTCCATCGGTCTGACTGTCTGGTAGACATTTCGCTCATGTCATTTTCTCCCACTTCCCATTCTTGGATCAAGTTGAAAGTTTGCAATATTATTCATTATCCATAACAAAACATGAATGAATAAAAAAAAAATTGACCAATCAATAAATTAATTATTGGCAATTAATTTATTTCGTTTTATGTAGAAAAAGGAAATAAATCTTACATTATTCAGAAATGTGGATGTAAATGTGGATTTCTTTTCCTTATATAAGCTTTTTTATTAAAACTTTGCTTTGTTCAACATTTCAAACTTATCCTATACGCTCCAGGCGTCTTTTTCAAGGAAAAGATAATTACGACCTTCGCTTATCCATATGTCAATCTAGTTAAATAGAGACGTAAAATCTTCTAAGTTGTTACTTTTCCTGGCTGATTCAGGCAACCCATTCTATGCAATACTGGCACTTGGGCACTTGTACGAATTCGTCTTTACATATAGAATTTGAAATGTGCTTTTATCTTTAAGTGTTTTTGTGTCTGCATGTTATGATTCAACGTTTAACGCATTGTTGATATTTCTTTTTTACTTTTTAGTCTTCTGTCCTAAAGTATCTATAAAGTCTCTGTCACCTGCCCTCTAGTCTTTTGAACCTTTGGGGCACCACACATGATCTGATGACCGTCTTTCTCCATTCTTTTCCGTCTCTTGTCAGAATGAGCGTCTCATTCTTCGACCTTGTCTTCTCATCGCTATTTTTGTCTGCCTCTCATGTTCCCTGGTACTTTTGTCTGCCTCTCATGTTCCCTGGTACTTTTGTTTGCCTCTCATGTTCCCTGGTACTTTTGTCTGCCTCTCATGTTCCCTGGTACTTTTGTCTGCCTCTCATGTTCCCTGGTACTTTTGTCTGCCTCTCATGTTCCCTGGTACTTTTGTTTGCCTCTCATGTTCCCTGGTACTTTTGTCTGCCTCTCATGTTCCCTGGTACTTTTGTCTGCCTCTCATGTTCCCTGGTACTTTTGTCTGCCTCTCATGTTCCCTGGTACTTTTGTCTGCCTCTCATGTTCCCTGGTACTTTTGTTTGCCTCTCATGTTCCCTGGTACTTTTGTCTGCCTATCTTGTTCCCTGGAACTTTTGTTTGTCTCTCATGTTCCCTGGTACTTTTGTCTGTCTTTCATTTTCCCTGGTACTTTTGTCTGTCTTTCATTTTCCCTGGTACTTTTGTCTGTCTTTCATTTTCCCTGGTACTTTTGTCTGTCTTTCATGTTCCCTGGTACTTTTGTCTGCCTCTCATGTTCCCTGGTACTTTTGTCTGCCTCTCATGTTCCCTGGTACTTTTGTTTGCCTCTCATGTTCCCTGGTACTTTTGTCTGCCTATCTTGTTCCCTGGAACTTTTGTTTGTCTCTCATGTTCCCTGGTACTTTTGTCTGTCTTTCATTTTCCCTGGTACTTTTGTTTGCCTCTCATGTTCCCTGGTACTTTTGTTTGCCTCTCATGTTCCCTGGTACTTTTGTCTGTCTCTCATTTTCCCTGGTACTTTTGTCAGCATCTCATTTTCCCAAGTACTGTTGGCCTCAGAAAAGTCTTTATGAGCGTTGTGACTCTCTTAATGTCGCCATTGTCTTGGCGCGATTAGGAATTAGATCTAGTTTTTTGTCTCATAGAAACGCAAAGTTTTGACCATGGTTTTGACTTAGAGACAATCACGTGACTAGTAAAAACAAGACTACGACTTGAGGAAGATTGGCGAAATGTAAACAGAAGGCTTTAGAGACAGGCAAGTTTTATGAACGTGG